TCTCTCTCTCTCTCTCTCTCTCTCTCTCTCTCTCTCCCCCACACCCCCTTTCTCTCTCTCTCCCTCCTTCCAACATTTCTACAACAATAGGCATGGAATAAAATTATAAAATTTGAATAAAATAAAATTATAATAATATACACAACAGATTTTAAAATGACATCTTGTGGCCCAATTCTTAGTACTTTATTAAGAAGACTATTGTCTTTATTTGTAATAGTGTGTAAAAGCATTCAGCAGTTTCCTTGAATTATCTAGAAACTTTCTTATGATAAAATCATAAAAGATATATGGCCAACATTTGTAGGGCTAAAAATGATGCACGAAAGCTTATTTTCAATTTAAAAAATGAATAATAAATAATAAAAGGCAAGTCTATATTAAAATTATAAAAGATAACAAGTAAAGTTAATGAAAGGACAAAAAGGCTTTCACTCTTAAGTCACTCAATTTGTTAGAAGAAAATAAATAAACTACCAAATACAAAAGCCAGGTGTCCCCTTTAATAGTAACTGGCTAATAATAAACTGTCTCTGGTTAGACTAACTTAGAGACATATAAAACTAATTAAGAAAAGGAAGATAGTTTATAAACATACATGTCTATGCTTTGATAACTTGTAAATATGGATCAGAGACTTACCTTTAACAAGGGATAGTTGATACTTGCATCCCATATGTTGGTAAAAGGAGCTTCCAAGACAATGGCATCAACTGGGCATCCTTGAAAATAGTAAAAGAAAAAAGAAAAAAATAGTAATTCCCCTATTCAAATACCACCTTCCCTAGATAAGGGATCCTCACAGTCTTGTACATGAACTACCTGCTTCAAAATCATTTGCAAGGCTTATTAACAATGCAATTTCCTGGACCCCACACCATGCTCAAGAGTCACAGTGTTGGGGGTAAGGAACAAGAGTGTTCATTTTTAACAAAGTTTCTCCCCCACCCTTGAGGTTTTAATGCAGATGATGGTTAAAACCACTACCTTCTTCTAAGAATACAAGATTTTTCAGGGCTTGGACAATTTAAGAAAGCAAAGCACTACAGGGAGACAGAGTATTCTGAAGTCTATTGTTTAAAATGTGCCAGAGACAGATTAGGTTGTTTTGGGCAATATCCCCTCTGCACAATTAGAAAATGTATGGGGAAGACAGTATGTGTATGTGTATGTGCATATTTATATGTTTGAAGGCACATGAGGATTACTGATCAGTGAGAATTTTCAGAGCAAATACCACTGAGAAAAGACAAGAGAGTTTGAGCTGCCTTTCCCCTCAAATCAGCTGAAAGCACTGATGATAGTTGACAGAATAGAAACTAAACAGTACTTTCAGTATTCTCCACAACCAAAAGGGGAAAATGAGAGTTCAGGATCTGACAAAGGGGAAGATCCAAGAACATTTCTCAAGCTTTTGGTTGTTACCTCAAAGAACTACATACTAGGAGAGGAATAATAATGGACCAGAAATAAACCAGCTTTCATAAAGGCTTAAGCAGAGCTTTGAATCAGCTCAATCTCTGATTGGATTCAAGTAATCTATTCGTAGCACAACTGCCTTTCAGAAGAAAAGTAAATTATTTTTGGAAAAAGACAACATCACCCCAAGTCTTAAATCATCTCTATGATTACCCATAAAAATTACTAGCACTTAATCAAAAATAACTAGACATATGAAAATAAAGAAAAGGGGGTTGGAGGTGTAGCTCAGTGGTAGCATGCTTGCCTAAAATGCATGAAGCCCTAGGTTCAATCTCCAGCAAGGCAAAAAGAAAAAAGAACAAAAGAAAGGGTTTAAAGTAGATAATTGAGTTTTGGAATTTTGAAACTTGATAGCATTCAGGTAATTAATATTTTTATTGATCCAATATTTTATGTATGAAGCAAATTCCAATTTTTTATCTTAAAAAATATTTCTTGGCCCTATTCATAAAGATTCTAATTTGTGAAGGTAGGATCCAGGAAACCTACATTTTTCACAAATGCACTCAATAAATTCTGATACAAGCTATTCTCAAATCACTTTGAGACCAGGTGTAGTGGTACATGTCTATCATCCCAGCAAATTGGGAGGCTGAGGCCACAAGTTTGAGGCCAGCCTCAGCAACTTAGCAAGACCCTAATCAACTTAGCAAGACTCTGTCTCAAGATAAGAAACAAAAAGGGCTGGAGATGTGGCTCAGTGGTAAAGCGCTCTAGGTTCAATCCCTGATATGAAATAAATAAATAAATTGCTTGAAGAAATATTGACATAGCTATTATATAAGAAGGACTGCAGAAACCAAGTCCTGACTATCCTTTCATAATGTCATTTTCCTCTCCTGAAATTTTAATTAACATCACTTCACAAAGAAAATTCATCTTAAGGCATTTTTAATTCTTCCCTTGATATTAATTTGAAGTTTCATAGCCCCCAGAGCAACCATTATTTTATATTAAGTAAAGAGAAGAACGTTTGTTACCTGCAAGGAACTGTGCACAAAAGGATGCCATTGGCATCTCTGTGTTCAAAGTGGACACAACAGTCTCTTGATTCTTTCTATTTCCCACCTGAAGCCAAGAAATTAAACCATGGAAGCATTTTACATTACCTTTCTCTTCTAACACTTTTGCAGCATTTGTTGCAACTCTGTAAAGCAATGCATATTATTACATATGTGAAGCAATGACTTAATAGTCAATTAAGTAACACAAAATGCAAAACATCCAGAATGAGTATTTGGTGAAACCTCTGAGCTCTCTGACACAAACTTGCACAGGATTTCAAGAGTTTCCACAAGCCCTAAATTAAAAATTCTTTTCTTTAAAATTCTCCAGGAGATTCCTGGGAAAGCTGGGAATGGAACCACCATTTGACCCAGCTATTGCCCTTCTCGGACTATTCCCTGAAGACCTTAAAAGAGCGTATTATAGGGATACTGCCACATCGATGTTCATAGCAGCACAATTCACAATAGCTAGACTGTGGAACCAACCCAGATGCCCTTCAATAGATGAATGGATTAAAAAAAAATGTGGCATTTATACACCATGGAGTATTACGCAGCACTAAAAAATGACAAAATCATGGGAATTGCAGGGAAATGGATGGCATTAGAGCAGATTATGCTAAGTGAAGCTAGCCAATCCCTAAAAAACAAATGCCAAATGTCTTCTTTGATATAATGAGAGCAACTAAGAACAGAGCAGGGAGGAAGAGCAGGAGGAAAAGATTAACATTAAACAGAGACATGAGGTGGGAGGGAAAGGGAGAGAAAAGGGAAATTGCATGGAAATGGAAGGAGACCCTCATTGTTATACAAAATTACATATAAGAGGTTGTGAGGAGAATGGGAAAAATAAACAAGGAGGGAAATGAATTACAGTAGATGGGGTAGAGAGAGAAGATGGGAGGGGAGGGGAGGGGGGATAGTAGAGGATAGGAAAGGTAGCAGAATACAACAGTTACTAATATGGCATTATGTAAAAATGTGGATGTGTAACCGATGTGATTCTGCAATCTGTATTTGGGGTAAAAATGGGAGTTCATAACCCACTTGAATCTAATGTATGAAATATGATATGTCAAGAGCTTAGTAATGTTTTGAACAACCAATAAAAAAATAAAATAAAATATTTAATTTGACACTTCTAAATAAATAAAACTCTCCAGGAAAGTCCAGAATGAACTTCAGTGTCCTAGATCCATGGAGCTGACAGGACCCTCCCTTGTTTTACAAACAGGCAAACTGAGGTAGCAAGGTCTCTAGCCACTTCTGGAGAAGAAGAGAAACCAGAAAAGAGACCCTATCTCCCAGAGCTCAGTGCCCCTTCCCCTGCTTTTGGCTGCCTTTGATGTGACCCTAAAGCCCCAAGTCCCTACCAAAGGACACATCTTCAGTTCTCACTCACCCTGTGCCCAGAGAGTGGCCCCAGAGACACACAGGAGTGGCACCACATCTTGCCTTGGTCCACTCATAGACACAAATAGCATCCGCAGTCAGTCCCTCCTCCGTGGGCTTCCCCGTTGAGTCCCCAAACCCTGGCAGCAAGCAAAGGCAAACACAATATCACTATCCCCAAAACAAGCGATCATCAAAAAAGCCTCCTGCTTATTTGGGAATCTTTGAACACTGTTCTTAACACATACCTCTGTAGTCAACAGAGAGAACATGAAAGCCACCATCACTCAGCACCTGGGTAACAAAGAGCTGCCGTCACTTGAAACTGAAGGTGTAAACAGGAAAGGTTCCTAAATAGGTCCATGTCCCTGTTCGTGGTGGTTTAATAGGTGGGGGAAATTTGTACTTTTGAAATCTAGTGTATGTCTTCAAACCTGAGGAACTCAGACTCAGTGGGAAAGATGGAAAGCAACCATCTTTGGTTTAATCAACCATCTGACCTTTGCAGAGCAAGGTCAGACTGTCAGGGTCACACCTACCAACTGAGTGACTTTGGCCAAGTTACTGAACTTTTAAGTGTAAAAACATTATTCTGAAAAGTAAAAAACATTACTTTTAGGATTATTGGAGAATTACATGGATGACATATTAAAATACCTGATTGCATGTTGTCTTTTTAAAGAACTCCCTTGAGAAATAAGGACTCTACACAGTTGTAGTAGAGGCAATCAAGCATTAAGAAGATATTTATATTAAATATGATCAGCTAAAGAATTAAATTCAATCAAAATTAGAGATCATGCGAACACATGAAACCACCACCAAGCCCCTCATAGGTCAAGAAGGAAAGAATGTGAAAAAAATAATTTTATATGAAGTGAAACACAATGACAAAGAGACATAAAAAGAATGAATTATTAATGTGCAGACAGTTTTTATTTAACCCTCATGACAGTAAGTTAGATATTATTCTCATTTTACAGATTTTTAGTAACTGAGAGCTGGGCACAGTGGCACATTCATGTAATCCCAGCAGCTCAGGAGGCTGAAGTGGGAAGATCACAAGTTCAAAGCCAGCCTCAGCAACTTAGCAAGTCCCTAGGCAACTTGACAAGACCATCTCAAAATAAAAAAATGAAAAACTCTGAGAATGTGTTTCAGTGGTTAAATGAGCTCAATCCCAGTACCATTAATTAATTAATTAATTAATTAATTAATTTAAAAACTGAGCACTGGAGAGTTTCAGTAATTTGTTCTATCACCCAGTTTTCAGAGGCAGATCCAAGATTCTGCCTATGTCCAAGTACTGTGCTTCCCCTTCTTCAGCACAGATGTGAGCAGCTAAACCTCACTGAGGACATTTTAAATACAAGTTGAACTAATAATTAGAAATTAAATGGAACTTTTAAATATCAATTCAAATTACAATCCCTCAAGAAAAGCTAACACACGTGGCAGCTAAGCCTTCAGAGAAATGGGAATAATCATGTGTTACTTATGGCACATGTATTTAAGGACCATTTGACAATACAACTCAAGGACAACAAGAGTAGCAAGTCCTTCTCCTAAGAATTTATCTCTAGGAAAATATGCCAAAAAAGAAGGAAAAAGGGATGGGGATATAGTGCCTGCATAACATGTGCAAAACTTTAGGTTTTGATCCCCAGTCCCATAAAAAAAAAAAAAGAAATTAAAAAAAAATACATGCTTGAAGTTTTCTGTAGTAATACTATTTAAAATGAATTCAGAAAAAAAAATCTAACAGTAATGGAGGAGTTAAGTAAACAAAGTTTGTAAGTAAATAGGAAGCTTTAAATTGGTTAATTATGATAACTAAAAGCATGGAAGGATATTTACAAAACAGTATTAAAAGAGCACAACATAAACTTGTATTAGATATATAGAGGCAATCATAGTGACATATTTCCTCTTCATATAAAAAGAGAAATAAAGATGGGGAAATACAAATAAATGTGAATAGCTGTACTAAGTGATTGAAGGAACAGAATAGAGGAAGGAAGCAAGCAAGCAAGGAAGAATTTAATAAAGACTTGTTTTCTTCCAGGAGAGGTGGCACATGCCTGTAATCCTAGCAGCTTGGGAGAATGAGACAGGAGAATCGCAAGTTCAAAGCCATCCTCAGCAAAAGCGAGGTGCTAAGCAACTCAGTGAGACCCTGCCTCCAAATAAAATACAAAATAGGGCTGGGGATGTGGCTCAGGGGTTGCATGTCCCTGAGTTCAATCCCAGGAAAAAAAAAAAAAAAAAAAAAAAAAAAAGATTTGTTTTTTGAAAGAAAGCACCTATCCAAAGTAGAAAAGGGGAGGCTCTGGAAGCCTGGTCCTATTGGGCAATGGTGAAGGCAGTACTTGGTATACAAAAGGTGCCAGAGGAAAAGTCATACCAGCCACTGCCTTCCCCAGCCATCCTAACCATGACAGGGACTAGCCACCTTCTTTCCGTATCTACAACTCTTCTTTCTGGGAACACTGAGGTCATGCAATTCAGCTCTGAGTGGGAGGGGGAAAAAAATCCTCAATTCTGATCATCATCTGCTTCACCATATCCTAAGTACAAATAGCAAAGGGCCAATGTGGAATAGAAAGCAAACCCACAATGAATAGATATCCTCCTTCCTCTGAAAACTGGGTGACTGAACAAATTACTGAAACTCTCCAGTGCTCAGTTTTTAATCTCACCTAGCACAACCCATTGGCAAGGGTCACCTGTGAGATGCACTGATATGGGTGGAGGTCTGGAAAGGAGTGGAGTTTCCTGACTGCACAGGGAGGGCGGGTGAAGAAGTGCTAGAGATACTGAGGCTGGCAGGATTATACGCCTAGATTACAAGACAGATTATAGGCCAGTTTATAGGCTGGAAAGAACTGAGGAGGAAGCCAGTGTGTGGGAGGAAAGACCAAGCCTCAGGGTCAATAATGGAATAGCAGCCCAGGCACCTGCAACAGAGATTACCTAACTGCAGAGGATCAACAGGCAGCTCGCTGGACCAGTTCTGAGACAGATATGGCTAAGTGGAGAGCCAGCCATGTTCCCACTTGGAAATGCAGGGACTGTCCCAACAAACTGGAGTGAGAAGTGAGGACAGCACAGCGCAGCCACCAGGCTACTCTACAAAACTTTATGTAGGACTAAAGCCAGGGTTTGATGGACTTTTAAAAGAAGACATTCGGAATTTTTGTTCTATACCACTTAAGAGATCTTATACAAGGAGAAGAAATTTCCCATTTAATACACCTATCCCCTAACCTTCGGCGGGTGGGGGGTGGGGTAGAAAAATCTAAGTGTCTTCTACCTTTTTTTTTTTTTTTTTTTTTTTTGAGATGAAGGGAACCAGTGCATGAAAGTGTATGAGGTCCCAGACATCACAACTCACCCTGGGACCTCTCAGGAGATAGCCAGGCTAAGGACCTAAGGAGATCTTATGACTATAGCCCAGAAGAGAATCAATGGGGATATACAGAACTGATGTTTTGAGGCCTCTTCAGGACATGGGGATATAGCATAGTAGTAGAGCTCTGGCCTAGGATGAGCAAGGTCCTGGGTTCAATCCCCAGCACCACCAAGAAAGGAAGAAAGGAAGGAAGGAAGAAAGGAAGGAAGGAAGAAAGGAAGGAAGGAAGGAAGGAAGGAAGGAAGGAAGGAAGGAAGGAAGGAGCGAGCAAACAAACTTCTATGAGGCCTCTTCAGACATACCTTTACCAGCTCAAGCCTGTGAGGGGCTGCCCTGTAAAAGGGGTTAGGGGAAAAAAAATAAGAATTATGAATTACGATGATGAGTTCAATAAAAATCACTCAAATGCTGTTGGCATTTCATGCCATTCTTTTTTAGATTAGAGAAATAAACAACTGAGAGCAACAGAACTGCTTCTTGGTAGCAGAGCCAGCTTAGATGTTTCAGGGAGAGTGATCAATGGCCCTGTTGCTGGACATTTCTCCACACAAAGCATTGGGCGCCCAAGTCTCTCTGAGGTGAGCATCTGATGAAGTACTGATAATCCATCTCCTTTCATTTCTATGCAACTAGACTTATCTCTAGGAATACTTTTAGAAGCTAAAGGGAAGTAAGTTCCAGAAAATTACTTTTCAGAACAAGGGATGATGGAGTCAAGTTGCACTAAATTATAATTTGCCTGTATCCCATCGCCTGTGTCATTGAACACAGATGAGGTAAAGGAGTGAGGCTCCCTGTCCTGCAAGGACAAAAGGTGTTTCTTCCATAAAATAACCATATTGATTATTCTCACACTAACAAAAATGAGTCAAAAGGCAGAGGATTCTTAAAAACCATTTTCTGGAAGCAAGCTGAGACTCTTGGGCAGAAGCCAAGAGGCAGGTGTGGCCAACCCCAGAACCAATGACTCTAGGACAACTGGGGGCAATTTCAGATTCACACAGAGGCACACATGGTAGTATGTTCCCCATGATCCTTCAAATAAGCACACTGCAGCACCCTGCCCAAGTTTACACTGCACTGAACAATGTCGAAGACTGCCGAATTCCGCAGGAAACCTCAACAAATGTGATTCTGAAATGGACACATTAAGAAAGCCCCTTGAGGAAAGGCAAGTCAGAGAAAAAGACATCACCTGACAGAAAAAAAAGATAGGGAGAAAAAAGACACTCTTGGCAAGCTAGCCAAGAGGCAGATTCCAGGGCTTGTCACTTAGCTGGAAGTTCCCTCCAGAGATGAATGGAGACCAGTGGGCTTCAAGCCTCAGCGCCCCTCCCCAGACCAAAGAGGTGCAGTCATGACTTATATCCATCACCTAAGGTAATAAGACAGGTCCAGGGACAGCTCTGACAGTACATCAAAGGACAGCCAGTCTTCCTGGAAACGTTCTTCCTTACAAAGCAAGGTAGGGACTAGAGAGTGAGGTGAGACATGAATATTCTAGACTAGAATTAGTCAGATGGCCCCCAATTCCTGTGGTCAGAATTCCAGATGATTTCTCTTAGGAGTCATACTTTTAATTAACAGGGTTGATGCTAAATAAAGGACTCTCCACTGTAGTTTTCTGAAAAGTCCATTGATGTGGAAATTGATCTTCCTTTCCCTCAGAAAGCATGCCTGACCCCTTTCCAGTCATCCATGGGTTTGTCAACCTAAATAACAATCAGAGAGAGATTCTCCTAAGAATATTTGGAGAATATCCAGGAATAGCAGAGCCTTGCCATGGAACTATGTATGCCACAGTAAACTATGAATGTATTCAAAAAGAATGAGGCAAGGGGAAGTTCTTAAATGCAAAATCAGGAGGATTACGTAAGATATTTTGAAATGATAAGCCTCAGCTACAAGGATTAATAACAAGGGTAGCACCAGTCAGAGATTGGACAGATAGTTGCTGGGCAGATGTCCTTGCACAAGTATTTCTGTGTAAGGTTGAAGTGGGCTTTGTACCAGGCTGTGGTTTTGGCAGAGTGACCTGTGAATAATTCCTATTATCAGGTTATGGGACATAGATGCATGCAAATCTTCATAACCTTCTGGCTTTATTGACTTTGTGGTTCAAACTTGACCAAAAGACTCCATTTTGACTCTGACAACAGGTTCAAGCTATCATTTTGGATATTCTTAAGGAGTAAAGGAACCACTGCCTTCTCTGAAATCAACATCCAGATTTTGGAAGAATCATTCTTTTCTCCATCCCAGTTAAGGATCCATATTATTCTTCTCATAAAACAATTTTCTAAAGAGAAGTCTTTAGCCAGAACACCCTTAGATTTCAAAAAAGGAAAAAAAATGTGTGAAGACATGCCAGCAGAGTTTAAAAACTGAATCCTGCTTCACTCTCCCACAGCAACACTGAGATGCTCTTAATCTCCTTAAAGAAAAAAAAATGCAAGCAGAGGCACTGACCTATGTTCTGCACTGCCATGAAGATAAACAATAATCGGGTTCCCATCGTGAAGGGATGCTTCATACCAGCAACAGTTCTTCCCCTTGGCATCTTCTCCCCGGCAGCTGGGGACTGTGTGCCTGAAGAGGAAGGAGGTTATCAAAAACATGTACAGAGGGAGGAATTCTCCATCCTTGCCAAAATCTGAGGCCCTCATTATGGGGCACCTGTGTGTGTGTGTGTGTGTGTGTATGTATTTATATTATTTATACATTCATATATTATATTTATATTCTATTCTAGAATATTTTTAAATTTTTACCTGAGTAATATATGCACCAATTAAAATTAAAATATAATACCACAAAACATCTTATAATGAAAATCTTACTGTCCTGACCCACTGGCCCATGAACAAAGGCAACACTTTTAACCATTTACTGTTTAAATTCTCCTGAGTCTTGTACCCATTAAGCTTTCAAGATTCCAGTTCTTAGGTGCAGTCCATTGAAATAACCAAAAACAAATAGAGACAAGTAAAAGATAATAGATACTTGCCATCTGCCATTAGTTTGGCTGAAGAGAAAAAGTTAGAGAGATTTTAAAGGAAAAATCAAGTTATGTAGGAAAGAGAACTTTAACATGAAGCCAAGCTATTCTATCCATGAAATCATGTGACCTTGTGATCATAAATACCTGTGTGGTCCTGTTCCTCCATCTTGCTAAACCAATGAAAGAACCCTAAAAATGCAAATGCTGACACATGACATGTCACAGGGGACTTGCAAAACAGGTCAAGAAATGGCAAAGCTTCTGTTCTCTTGATTATTAAGGGACAGGCACCACTGCCTAAGTGAGTTGGTTCTAATGAGGACAACCACCTCACCAAACTGAGGGCCAGAGGGGAAAAAGCAAATAACAGAAAAATTTCCAAATTCCAACACTGTTAGCTGACCTGTTCCCTGCAGGATAGGAAGAAACCATGTGCACCCATATTGATTCTCAAACATTCTATGATCAGAGGTTTAAACTCAGGAAGAAGCAATATAAAACAGAGCACTGGAAACTTGTCAGCCAAGAATAAGTAGTAGAACCAAACAAGAAAATACTGAGTTAAGCATAACAGAAAAAGGCAATAGAACGTTCCTGGCTTCATCTGACAAATATTTATTGCATGCCCTTCATGTACCAAGAATTAGGCTAATCGATCAGAGCCCACCACCAAAGTCTGTCTTCTCTGCAAGCTGTGGTCTTGTAAGGAAAACAGGCATTAACCAAATAATCACACAAACATTTATTTAATAATGAGGAAAAAAAAATGTTTTCATGGGCCAGACAAGCACAGGCGGCCACCAAAGCACATACTTAAAATGGGGGCTAAGGAAAGATTTTCCTTAAAATTGTCAGTTAAAGCAAAACCCAGAAAAGATGAGTAGACAATTAGCTATGCAAAAGGAGGGCCATGCAGGAAGATGAGACAGAATGACATGCTGAGACAAAGCATATCCTGGGGAACTGTGGCTTGATGTGCCTGGAGCAGAAGACATAACAAGGGTGGTGTGGAGTAAGAAGAGGTGCTGAGCCCACAAGCCAAGGGCAACATCTGACCTCACACTCTGAAGCAAAAAATTCCTGAGAAGCAGAATTAATCAGGTCAGATTTCACTGTAAGGAGAAGGTGTTATGGAACGATTCCCAAGGAGCACCAACCCCCACGCAGACAGGTAAGGCAGCATTGCTCCCCTTTGCCCTTCTAACAGGAAAACCTGGTCCATCAAGCATCTCAGTGTCCAATCCATGTACTCACCAGATTCCCAGCATCACTCGGGGTTCAACCCTTATGTAGAAGTTCACAGTGTGAGGAATCTTTGACTCTGGTTTGTTTAAATCCACAAGAAATGGAGCTTTGTCTGGAAAATAGAAATTATTGACTACCAGAATCAATCAAATTCCAACTCTTTTAATGATAACCAAAAAAAAAAAAAAAACAGGAATGAGTCTTTGTAGGCAAACTGGTTTCTAGGTTGCAAGCCACTAAATGACTTGCAAAGAGTTTTATCAACTAGGGCTAGCCAGCAGACTAGTTGCAAAAAGAAACAAAACCTAAAGCTAGATTTTATAATAGCACCAGCATGGTAGCCCACAATAGAGCAAGAGAGTTTGTCCAATCCTTATCTTTGGCTCTACCTAAAAGCAGAGGAAACCTCTGATAAGGTAAGAGGGCCCAGAAGGAAACAATGAATATTCTGCCACTGAAGTAAAACCTAATCATTAGCCTAAGTCCAGAAATGATTGAGGTATACCAGGGGGCTGGTCAGTAAGAGCTAGGATTGTTACACTGACTGAAAGTACCCAGAAGACCCTTCCTCTACCTGCTCTCTTCCTTCTCCTTTCCTCCCGCTTTTTCTTTTCTTCCCCCATCCCCTACTTCTCCAAGGCATTCTTATAAGAGAGAAAAGAGAAAAAACATAATTCCATGAGCAGTTAGGTATCCATGTCAACAGCTAATTTGAAGACTGAGCTCCCGAATTGAAACCCCAGTCACAAGGCCCAGTCACAAGTGTCTTTGCCTATTCCCAACAGCTTAAAGGATTTATGCTAGCCTCCAAAAATCAATACTGAAAATAGGTTTCAGACTGTTTAAATCTAGCCACAAATTTATAATTTACAAGTCTTTTTCATTATATTATAACATTAAGGACAGTGAGTTCTTTATTTGGGGAAAATTCATGGGAAGTATACACTTACAAAAATTAAAATAAATCAGCATGTCCATCAGAGGAGGGAAAATGTGTTCTTTTAATGGTTTACTAGTAAAGCTGTTGTACAGAGCAGCAATTTTTCCTCTGAGTGTTGAACAGGAGTGTGGAAGAGATCTGCAAAATATTGGGAAACACACAAGGTTTTCAAAATCAGTCCAAGTTTGACTTGTTTTGTTTTTTTCTCCCAAAGTTCAAATCAAACTTTAGAGACTAATATTGGGCATTCCAGGTAACTCAGCATTTAAGCAAAATCCTTCACACAACTTCACACACTGTCTAAGCTGGGCCCTGAAGAGGAACCCAGTGAGGAAGACAGAGCCCTGTCTAGTCCCTGAAAAGGCCAGGGCATGACAGGGAAGGAGGGCAAGAGCTGACAAATGCACCAGGGTCAGATTTGTCCTCCGTATTGCCCCATAGAAGGCCAAAACTAGACCCCAAAGTCATTAGTAAACAAGATGTAGCCAGCTTAATAGTTTCTGTGTTCAAAAATCACATCACAACGCAGCACTACACAGGTTAGCTGTTGTTCCTACTATATAAAGCAGTGAGTGACATCATTAGATCTTCTCTCTTCTGACTGAGTCTTAGGAGGAAAAAAAAATCCAATGAGAGAACACCCCCACTTCTGAGTGACATTCCTGGAGGAGAGGCACCTGTGAGGAGCAGGGTGGGGAGCAGGTGGGTGGGACCTGGAAGAAGTGGGATGAGACCATCGGCGTCTTGCGCATTCTACTGTCCTCTATGACACAAACCATCAATGTGATGATTTGTCCATGGGGGTCACTAATTCCACTCTGTCTTGAATCACATCTCTCATGAAGGTCAAGATGGCCTCCCATTTTTGACAGATGAGGGACACAGGAGGTTAATATTATTATCTGCTTCCAGTTTTTGTCCACATCATCTATTCAATAAATCCTTTTCCTATTGTGATCTACCAACATTAAGACTGCCCAATGTAGTCACATTGTAAGGTTGGAAAGATAGAAAGCACTCTGTTCAACTGCCCTGATTTTTCTGCTACCCCAGAGGCAGTTTAGAAGATAAGTGTTACCTCTGCTTCACAAATGAGGAGTCTACAAAGCTAAAAGTCCTTCCTAACCTTGCAGGCCAAGGAATGAGTCACACATCCCCAAGTCTGCCTGACCCCTGTGATAACTACAGTGAGCTGTCACTCTCCTGCTGAGTTCAACTTGCCCTTCAGGTAGGCAAAGTGAACCCCAGGAACAAGGCCAGCCTCTGGCATAGTTCTGTTCTTAGAGACTCTTATTTTAGGATCCCCTTCTCCACATCTGCACTCTTGTCCTTTCTTGGGTCCCTACTTCCTCCCACCTTATTTCCTCCTTGCTGTTTCTGTGTTCTCAGGAGCCCTCTGATGACAAAGTCACCAAAGAAATACCCTCTAAAATATTAATTCTCCCTCAAGTACTGAAGGGAGAAGATGGATTCCCAGGAGTTCTGAAAGAGTGGAAAAGAAATGGGCTAAGGATAGTAGATGGCTCTTCAAACACATTGCACATGGGAAACTACCTACTCATAAAATCAGCAAGAAATAAATGAAGATGACTGTTTCATAACACTGTAAAATAACCCCCCTGAGGACAGCAGGAAAAAGAGGTCATTGTTCTGATTTTAGAGATAAGAAATCAAAACCTAGGGAGACCACTTTGAGCCACAGATCAAGGCAACATGGGCACAAGGGAACACAGGTTGGCAGAGTTGTGCCTGCTCCCAGTTTGGGCTGCCTCCTGCTTGCTCTTGCCAGATTCTCTGCACTCACTGCTACCCTGCCTGTTAGTCTCCCACTAAGTTATCTTTTGAAGGTAGGCAGGGCAGTCTCCCGCTAAGTTATCTTTTGAAGGTCTGCTTGGGAAGCAGAAGCAGTGGAGGGAAATGTATTTCTTTTTTAAAGGAATAATTCATACACGACCCTTCTCTCAAATAGCTCAAGGCACTTCTGTGAGAAGCACTGCGGGAAAAGAACAGAGTGACCAGATTCCTCAGAGCATCAATAATGCAAAGGCGCTTCTTTTAAGTAGGGGGTTGTCAATTTGACTTCCCCTAGATCAGTGGGGGATCAAAAGTCACCAGTGGCTAATAGACCTTATTTGAGCAGAGGATGCAGTTTCAGCTCAATCTCTGCTACCAGCCAGCCACATCAAAAAAGCTTGGTGCCTTGGTGTTCTTTGTTTGCCCTTTGATCAGTGGTGGCTATAACCGTGAAGTATCCCACAGAGGCACAGCACCTAGATGGATAATTCTTACTGGTGAAACCTGGTGGAATCCGAGCTGATAACATTCCTACTCAGAGGTGTCTGCAAACCAGCTTTTGGGAGCCCAAATCCAACCACATTTGGTCAAACAACTATTCCAAATATGAAGACGCTTTGTACATCCTTCCTACCTGCTGATTCATGCAGCCAGCATGTGTGGATCACTGAGTACCAAGATGCATCATCCAAACCAAATCCCACCCCTACCCCTTCACACACACTCAAGTGTATCTTCTTGGTGGAAGTCTCCCAAGACAGATCTTCCCACAGTGACCTTCCCTTTCTTTCCATCCCTCCCACTAATTATAATGGGGCCTCAGTTTGACCCTATCTTGTTTTCTGATAGTTTTCTCATTATTAGCCCATCTTCCCCTCACTGTGCCAGGCATGAACCATGTGGTATGTGTGCTTCTTTTACATCTCACCTGTGTAGCACAGAGCCAAGTTCACTAAATATCTGTTGAACCACAGGTTGAAGGCTGAAAGGTGTATTTCTTTCATGAGCCATGACTTTTAGAGTTTTGGGGGAGAAAGGGAGGACTTCATTCTTTTATTCTTTATTTTGAACTACAATTGAAAAGAGATCACTGAGAGTTCTAAAAGAACAGGGTTATTATTATTATTATTATTATTATTATTATTATTATCATCATTGTATTTCATTTGTTCCTTGAACCCAGGATATAGGAAAGAGCATCACAGATAGTAGATAACCTGTGAGAAGAATGACTAAATTTATCTGCATATTACTAAGCACCCTAGAATGGGACAACTTGGGTGACACAGGCAAATAAGGAAGAAAATAACCTTTGACCTATGCCATCTTCTTTCCTGGGAATGTTTTCCATTTTTTCCAATTTAAAGATCATTTGCAATGGAGACTTACTGTAAAGGACCAACCCACCTTAAGTAGCAACTATGTCAGATGAAATTTTTGAAAAGTAAATAAATAGACTACCACTGAAAATATAATATGATTAAATGTTCTCCTTAAGCCTCTGAAAATGTGACAATAGACCTAGCACTATAAGCAGGGCCAAGCACACAGCAAGTCCTCCATGAATATTTGCTGATTTAAACCTACTTGGCTCCAAGAAACTAAAAGGATTCCAGGTGCCAGAAACAGGTCTATGCCTCGGCCTTAACATGTTTTATGTTAAATCAATAATCTGTTTCGATTAAAAAAAAAAACCACTGGTACTTTATCCTTTTAGAGATCATCTCTTGAGAGTTATTTTTTATTAATTAGTAATATAAATCATGGGGTCCCTAACTCCCAACTTCCTACTCCATTACAACAAAAGTAGGTTGCTCTCTAAGAGAATGAAAATGCAGCTTTGAATCTCTACCTAATCAATGCTCTATTAGCATGGACATTAAGTAATCAGCCATTAAGTCTACAGAAAACACAAAAGGGAGAGGTGGCCGATGCCAGCTTTCCTAGAATAACCAAATGAGGTGGGGCAGGAAGCGGAGAGTCCTATGATTGTGAAATTTGAAAAGTACAGACAGAAAATTCCAAAGGTGTCCTGCTGAGGTATGGGTTCTGCATACCTCATCAGAGAGAGCCACTCTATGATAACTGCACTAAGCTAGGGAAGGAAGAGAAGAGAAGAGATCCCCAGTGGTCATCATCACATTCCAAAGTGAAGTCTCCTGTGTCTGGATATGATTCTGGGATTTTTTTGTCATCCACACAAATTAAAAAGGAATAGAAAGAAGAAATATAAACAAAAATGCCAATATCTTACCACATCAATAAAACAACAGGAAATATACAAGTCTTCCGTGTCCAGGTCTCCAGCCAATACCTGGTTTCCATGCGAACAAGACTGGTGGTATGTTGCTAATCAATTCCAGTAACTAAAATTATTATTCAACCCATGGGAAGAAGATATATATATATATATATATATATATATATATATATATCCCTCTGATATACAGACATTTCCAGATTTAATGTGAGAACTTGGCACAGGCAACACCACTTTGTGATTTCAATGTACTACATAGTTTTAGCATTTGTGGAGGTGTTCTTTAAATGCACACCTGATCATTCACATTGGGGAGCCAGGCAGCAACTTTCTGACCTTTTTCCATCTACACTGACAGTTCCTTGACCTAAGAAGACCAGCAAAGATAATTGCACACAGTATATTCTTATTACCACTACTGTTAGTAGTATCAAAATCCATTTTGTATATTAGTAAAATAGATAAAAGAGATTTTGGTATAGGAACCCAACTTCTATTTCAAATCTCAACTTCAACCCCCTCCCCTCCTAAAATTTTAAGTTCTGGAGGTCAATTCTGTGAGATTCACTGGCCCAGGTAGGGGGGTCAAGACTGAGCATAAGACCATGCCAAGGAGCCCTGGGAACTTGCAGGACTCTGAAAGCCATTGAAGCCCCCTAGTGCCGCAGTGCCTGGCCAGGGGTCCGCGAAGTGGGGCTAGGGTAGGGCTTCTGTGTCAGAACCGGCGGCACGCTCGCCCTGCGCGACCTCTGTCCTGCCATAGGGGCTCCTGTGTCGCTGGCGGGGCGTACTCACCGCAGGTTCCGCAGGACCATGTTCCACCAGGTGGCCACGTAGTCGCAGGCTGGGGGCCCAGGGGCCGCGTCCGCCTCGCAGTCCTGAGAGTTCATCGCGTGCTGTGCTGTGCCCCCAACTGTCGCCACCGCCACCGCCACCGCCACCGCCTCGGGAACTGCCACCCGGAGTCGCCGCTCAGGTCCGCCCCACCCCTGCGGCGCCCACGCCTGCCCTTCTTCGAGGCGCCAGGCGGACGGCGGCGCGGGGTGCTCTGCAGCTTGGTGCTGCGGGAGGTGCTGGACCCGCCGCAGGAGCCAGGGGCCGCCTGCGAGTGGGCTTCTGCCTGGCACAGCGTGCTCCCTGCTTCCCCCATACATACACAGATAGATGTTCAATAGAAACAAAAGTATCCTAAGTGAAGCTATGCAGCATTTCATTTTTATTTGATTCCCATTATACCTCCATGTGCACCCAGGAGCAAGAGGCCTGCGTGAAGTAATATTATGGCAGAACTCAAACAAACATTTAATAGGCACAGAGTAAAAAGATCTTCATATCATTACTGTAGCAAGAATTTCTTTGGCATCCTTTGGTTGAGCAATGTTTGATCTGTCCATTGGGTTATGAACTACAGTTATTCCAGTATCCAAAGATGAAATCTTTTGGTTGTTTTGTTTATTTAGCATTATAAAACAGAACTCCATTTTTGTTCACACCTTGTAATGGTTGGCACCTGGTACAGACTTGCATTGCATAATTTTCTCCTAGAAGCTGGGATTATGAGTCTACCAGAACTGCTCCAGGGAAGCCACAGGGCGCAAGTGTGGAGATAAAAGGGAAGAAAAGGGATGCAATTTGATGCCAGCCAGCATCAAGGCTTTGTCTTGGATGAAGATGCATCCTTGGTGCAGCATCACCAGAGGTGAAGTGTAATTTTCTGTGGTGCCTGCTCTGTTTGGGCAGAGGACAGAGCAGGAGACTGCTAGCCCCCAGAAGGTGGGTGCATAGGGACCCATCTGCTAGAGGATAATTGGACAATGTGGAGGAAAAGACACAATTTTCAAGAAGTGTTCTTTTTGAGAACTAGACCATTTCATAGAACTGGCCAGACAGAAGGAGATTGTGTTCACTGCCTCTTACAACCCTTCGGGGAATGTTTGTTTCCTGATTCGCATCAAGACAGAACAAGATCCATGAAGAAGGACCAATGGAATCTCAGCCTGATTGATGAGGCAGCTGCAAGTGAGTTTTCACAGGGCTACTCCCTGCATGATGAGAAAGGTTCAAGCAGATGTCTGATTCCACTCCAGGAGTTGGTTATAAAGATGGTCTGGAATCTCACAGAACTTGTTCAGGGAAGCTCTGGATAAGACTCTAGGCCTTTCTTGCCTTATGAAAATGAAGGGACCAGAGGTGGCTAGCAGAGGGAAAAGAGAAAAGCAGCCAGAATGGCCCCAGATTCTATTTCCATCTGTTTAGATTGAGAGAATAGAAGCCTGTCTGCTAATTGAGGCCACAAAGTTGTCAACATAAGCCCAATTTCTAGGGACACCTTGAAATGATCAACCAAATCTTGGAAGCTGAAAATCACTTTCTGCCATTTTTTATAACATCATGAGAATTAAGGATCAGGAAGAGGCTTTCCCACCATAGGTAGTTTCTTTGGGGTGGAAAAGGGAAAATCAGAGAGCAGTCTCCAACATGATTGGGCAGAATCTAAGAAAAAAAAAAGTTCATTCATTTATTAAGCACCTATAGACAGAGTGTCTTTTAAATGTCAGGTACCATATTGGACTCTCTAGGGGGATACACACCAGGATCCCATCTGTAGAGAGACTAACCTTAGAATGAAGCGTGAACTAGGTTTGATTCCACATGCCTGTAATCCCAGTCACTCTGGAAGCTGGGACAAGAGGATCACAAATTCAAGGCCAGCCTCAGCAACTTAGGGAGACTCTCAGCAACTTGGTGGGAGCCTGTCTCATGATAAAAAAGAAGGACTGGGGATGTGGCGCAGTGTCAAAAAACAAACAAACAAACAGGAGAAAAGTGCCCTAAGGAAATCCAATCAGGGATTGGAGATGGAAAAGGGGAGTTAACTACAATAGAGTATGCCAGAACATTTTAGGGTAATGGAAACTGTCTTAGGCTCTGCAGTGGTTACATGACTATAAATGCTCACTGAAATTCATGAAACTGGAAATTTTTCAAGGGTGAAATGGCTGAATATGAATTTTATATCAACAAACCTGACTTTGTTTTAGTGATGCTGGGGATCAAATGCTAGGGATTGAACCCAGATCCTCACACATGCTAGGTGAACACTCTACCACTGAACTGTACTTCCAGCCCACACCTGACATTTAGAAAAGTGACCTAAGAAACATACAGTTAAACCAGGTGCAGTGGCATACACCTATATTCCCAGTGACTTGAGAGGCTGAGGCAAGAGGATCCCAAGTTGAAAGTCAGCCTCAGCAACTTATGCCCTAAGCAACTTAGTGAGACCCTATCTCAAAATTAAAAAAAAAAATAAATATAAAGGATTGGTAATGTAGCTCAGTGGTTAAACATCCAAAACATCCATAGATTCAATCTCTGATACAAAAAAAAAAGGAAAGAAAGAAAAGAAATACACAGATAAACTACATAAATGAGCGTATCCTATGCTACACTGTGTAAATGTTTAAACAAAGTCACTGGCACAAATATATCAGAAATCAAGAATTTAGCTGTTATTTGAACTAGTAGGAAAAAAAATCTCAATTGGAAATAGGTTAATTTTGCCACCTAAAATTATTCTGTAATAAAAGAAATGGAGGATAAGAGTGATGGTCTCTCAGCTGCCACACAGCTGTGGAGGTAAACAGCTGGTGACAAAGCATTTGGACTGAAGAACCAGAAAATGACAAATTGCTAATTTTCTGTTACTTGGAGAATAATAATAGAAAATTTCTATCTATCCCCCTTGCATTTTCTTTTCCTTTGAATTCAGTTTTGCTGAGACACAATTCACATACCAAAAAATTTATCCTTTTTTGAGTATAAAACTCAGTAGTTTTACTATATTCAGGGCTGTGCATCCATCATTGTATTTAATTTTAGAACGTTTTCATCACCACAAAAAAAAAAAAAAAACCAAAAACATGCCCATTAGCAGTTACTCACCATGATTCCCTTTTGTCTGCCCTGAGCAACCACTAATCTACCTTCTCTCTCTGTGGATTTGCCTATTCTGGATATTCTATATAAATGGAATCACACAATTTGTGGTCTTTCCTGTCTGAATTTTTTTTCCCTTAGCATATTTTCAAGGTTTAACCATGTGTAACACTCCAATCCTTTTATGACTGAATATGGCCATTTGGCTTACCCATTCACCTGCTGATGAACATTTGAGTTGTTTCTACATTTTGCCTATTATAATGCTGCTGTAAGTGTACAGGTTTTGTATGGACATACATTTTCATTTCTTTTGAACACATAACTAGTAGTGAAATTTCTGGTTCATACGGGCAAATTTGTGTTAAATTTTTGAGGAGTTGCTAAAATGTTTTCCAAAATGGCTGCACTGTTATACAGCCCCACCGTGTAACGTGTGAACTACTGTCTTGCCTTTCCCCTTGTTCTGCTTTTCACCCTATCTGAGCTTCCCATGCACAAATAGGAAAAGAAAAAAAGGATCTGATGCTGTTGAGATTATACTGAAACATTTAAAATAAGTTTAAGAATAGTCATAGAAGATAGAGAATGACTCATTCGGAACATTTCTTTTTCTGTGTTAAGTTTTTTATTGTCCTTGCCTATATCAGGCCAAATTAAGACTGTTTACTCTTTTTTTTTTTTTTTTTTTGCATATAACTTTTTATTCTTGTACAACATGAAAAATCAATTTATTTTTTATTTGCTCTTATTAATTATACATGACAGTATAATGTATTTTGACATATGGAGTATAACTTCCCATTCTTCTGGTTGTACATGATGTGAAGACCATTCTACTCTAAGAAAGAATGTTAGATTATTCTTGTGTGCATTTGAGAATGTTAATATGGCTTCCTTTTAGCAAAAAAAAAAAAAGTGATTTCTTTGAGAAGAAGAAGTGATGAGATCATGGGTTTCTTTCAGTTAATACTGAAAGGGCTCAAAAGTCCTCTTTCTTCTGAAGAAGCCTCTACATTCCAAGGCATGGCCCATGGCTTCCCTTGCTATTCCTTGGTAACGGATGGGACTCAGTTTTTCTAATATCAGTAGAAGGACTGAGCCAGGATTAAAACCCAGGGTTACCATCTCCTCTTACCTTTCTAGTTGCTCTTTTTCAAAGGTCCTCCTGCTATTCCTTAGAAGTTAGTTATTCTGGGGCTGTGGTGTAGCTCAGGGGCACAGTGTGCCCTTAGCATGCACAAGGCCCTGGGGTCCGTCCTCAGCACATGCACATGTGTGCGTGTGCACACACACATATGCACACACACATACATACACACACTAGTTATTCTCCAGGGTTCCTTTCTAGCCCTGCCTCTTTTCTTGCATTATTTATACCAGGATTTCTAAAACCATGTTTATTCATTTGGGGTGTTGTGGGATGAATACAGTAAAATATGCTCCTTTGGCTAGGACTTCAGTCTCAAAATCTTCACTTACCTAGTATTCTTTGAGAATCACCAACAGGGAATTATAGAATGAAACATTTTTCTAAATTCTTTTTCTCTCCCTACTCCTCCAAATTTGTTCCACTTGCAGAATGCCCCATCTTGAAGAATAACTTCATCATACATAGAGTTTCCTAAACTAATAACTTGCTCTTCATCCTGATTCTTCTGTTTCCTATAAATCCAGCATTTCCTCTAGACAGAATTGCTATTATATCTTGATGTACTATTTCTTTGAAAAATATTTACCAAGCACTTTATACATAGTATCTAACTTGGAATCTCACACTCTAGTTGCACAGAAAGGACTTACAGATGTGAAAAGCTACACAACAACCTATGAGTTATCACTAGGTAATAAATAAACATGTTACAAATAATACATATTACCACAGGCTCAATAGGAAACACCTCTGAAGGCTGAAGAGGTCAGGTAAGGATCCCAGGAAGGAACCGTTCTG